AAGTGCGTTCTCCCAGCTCCCGGATGTCTGACCTTATTTCTTTCAGTGAGGTCTGGAGGGTGGTTTGTAGCTTGGCGTGCATTGCATCCAGCATTCTTTGTAATACCCCTTGGGTTACCAGGGCATCCTCTGTGGCCGAGGTTTGCATTTCGCCGGGATCGTCGCGGGCGCCATCTTGGGCCTCCTCCAGGGAGCCCGCCGTTTTTTGCTGGGCTGTGCAGGCGGTGAAGAAGCTGGTTTTGTCGCCCTTGTTGGTCTGGCGTCTGCCCTTTTGCTGGGACATTGCTGTGGGTGCTTGATGTGCTTTGTGGGTGCTCGTTACGCTGATGATAAGGCCTGTGTAGCCGGAGCTACTCTAGCATGCGACCGCAGTGGTTGAGCTCCAGGCCACGCCCCCCATAACCCTGTATACTTTAATGTTGACTTCGGTAGATAAATCATTTTAAATATTTTTTTTTTTTTAACAAAATGGAATCATTTCAGATTAATTATATTGAGGCCTATGCATTTAATCATAAAGTAAAAGAAACTGTTTCCACAAACGCATGGCACAAAACATGCGCTATCAAAAGTCATACCCTTAAGCCCAGCATGTTGTGACAGCTCTAGCCCTTTAGATAGTCAGAATTTTTGCTAACAATGTTACAAAAGTGAAGGAGAGACTTTAACTGAACACTGTCGTATGGAAAAGAACATGGAATTTAAAAGTGGCAGTCTCCTCCAGATTATTTTGCGGGCTGGATGAGAGGGGACAGATTCCCCACTTATAAAGATCTACAGTGCCCTAGTTCATGTATGTTCTTCAGTGGTTGGGTGTAAGTTTAATTTTTTTTTTAGAACCTTTTACTCATTAATCAATGTTAGACCAACTTGGGATTTATTTACGAAATCATGACTCAGGGGTGAGTTAATGTGTATTGAAAAATTGTATCTCATTATAAAATATAAAAGGCCAAATCCAACCAGATTCTCCTACAAGCAAGGTTGTGTTTCGTTTGCAAAATGCACGGGCAGTCTAAGCACCATAACCACTATAGCACTGAGTAGCAGTTATGTTGCCCGCAGCCTTTGGGCACTGTAGCTCTTCTTTGGTTTGAAAAAATGAAGCTCTACCAGACTCATAGAGACCATTACTCAACTAACTTGATAATATAGAACTGTCCACCATGAATGCCAGTGATAGACTGATAGTACACACCACAGTCCTTCAGGCTATTACTGCGGTTCAGGTTGGACAAAATTCAGGTGGCAAAATCGCAACCCGCTCCCAGATGGTTTAACAAAACCATATTGTCTTAGCAGCATAACCATTATATTAATCTGTAGGGGTTTGGGATATCTTTTTTGGCCAAGTCTACAAGGAGTAAGGTTTGTAGAGATTTAAAGGAATAGTATATTGCTAGGAATACAGACCTTTTTTCTAGCATTGAGTCTCCCTTGACACAGTTTACCTCTCTTCAGGGACCTCTTCGAGGACCTAATGCACATGCATGGCCGGCGTGGCGTGCATCCAGGTGCTGCACTCGCATCCAAGCTTCCACATGGGACAGCATTGAATGTTTCCTCCGAGGGCTTCCACATCACGAGACCGAGTTTTACTCGGTCAGTGCAACAGAAACGCCCCAAGTGGTTGCCAATGTAACAGCCTCTAGAGGTGGACTTAATCCTGCACTGTAAACATTGCCGTTTCTAGAAAACTACAATGTTTTACATCACAGAGTTAATTATGACAGAGTCACTGCACAAAGACCACTTGATTAAGATGAATTGGTCAAACAATTGATTTGTTTCGTTCCGAATGTACATTCGTACAAATTTCATGACATTCAGTCGGACATTCGGTTGCTTACGAATGTCCGAAGTGTCGAAGTCCCAAAGTGCCAAAGTTCCAAAGTGACAAAAGTTTGATGATTTGGAAGTGCCGAAGCGCTGAAGCTCCAAGGTGCCGCAGTGATTCGAATTTCTGAAAAGTGGCAAAATAAGAGAGGGAGGTGGAAATTACTTGAATGATGACAGGAATCTTGACCAATAAGCTAATTCCTTTCGTGCAATTTAATGCTTGCTTGCCCAATCCGGTTTCACTATTCCCTGTCCAATGAAATGAGCACATTTTTGTGATTGCTGTTAGAGGACAGACAATTTATGGTAATTTTGTCACTGACACTTGACCAATGAAGGCACACAGAGTCATTAAGGGTGGGATAGTTTATAAACCAGGCTGTCAGGGTGTTGGCTTGCATTCATGTGACGTAGACATGTGCAAATCATTTCTTTCCGAATGTACGTTCATATGAATTTCATGCCATTCGGACATTCGGATGCTTACAATTGTGCAAAGTGCCGAAGTTCTGAATCACCGAAGTGATGACGTTTAGCAGCTCTGAAGTGCCAAACCGAACCGAATGCCATTGGTCCGAATTGCCGAACAAAGTTTTTTTACAAACAGAACCAAACCGATTTTTTGGGCCCATGCACATCCCTACAGAATGCTGTAGTTCAAAGCTATGGTTTTTGGGCATGTGATGTGAGTAAAATACCATCCCCACCCCACCAGATAATTTTTTATAATCTAAATTTAAGACACATTGCTGACATAAGCATAAATGTAGAATTTCACAAAGATGAGTGGTCAAGTCATAAGACACATAGGCATATATAATAATTATCGACCATGCCTTTTATTGACATTATGAGACTGAAATAGAATTAAATTCCATTCAATGCAGAAAGAGAGAATCAAACCATTACCAAGGCTTTTCTAGAACGAGCATTTGATTCTCAATTTGAAAAACTCAAATTGGAAATGAATAATATGATGAAAGAAATTAAAGAAGAACAATGCTTAATAGGGATGCAACTTCAAGAAAATTAACTGCATATGACACAGTTGAAAGAAAATTTTCAACTCCAGGATGCTCTAATGTAAAAACAGGATGACAGAAACTACAATATGGATAAAAAGATTGCTGAGCTAGAATATAGAGCCAGAAGGAACAATCTAAGACTCAGAGATATACCAGAAGCGATTCCAACTGGAAACATATATATTGGAACTCATAAAAGCTCTTGATATAGATATATCAAAATACAATCATGCTTTGGAGAGATTCCATAGGACTTACAAACCTCCAGAAATTCCCACTTCAAAACCTTGCGATGTTATTATAAGCTGCGCATCATCAAGACTTAAAGATCAGATTTTAAAAGCAGCATATGCACAAATAAAGATTTATCCAGATCTTTCTTACTATACAAGATCTGAAAGAAGACGCTATGCTGAATTAACAAATGTTCTGCGAAATAAGGATATAAAGTACAAATGGTGTTTCCCCACAAAATTAATTATATCCTATGAATACAGCACAGTGATATGCGACTCCCCAGAAAAACTAGCTTCATGGCTCGAAGGGAAAAATCTGAGTCAAACATGAGATTTCTGGCTGTGTCTTTATATGTTAAATACCCCCTCTATTCCCTCTCCGCCTTCCTCCCCATTAGACAGGTCTGATATACCAAATTACAGAAAAATAATGACACGATAAATCCTTTTATCAAGCATGATCAAATCTTTACATTGTGATGTATGGGCAGTTGGGCTGTGTATGAGTGTGTGAGTGTATGAGTGTATGTATTGTGATGTATGGGCATTGGGCAGTTGGGCTGTTGTTGGCTGTGAATGTTGCACTTCCTTTCTTTTGGTTCTTTACTTCCTGCTCCTGTTGGCAGTCGGTGGAATGTTCGAGTGATTTGAAACCCTGTGTAACAAGGCTGCAATATGAAGATGCTGTTATATATGTATCAATAAAGTGAGTACTTCGTTATACAGGAATTATTGGCTTAATGCAGGAGTATTCTGAGGATTCAGATGAACAATTTCCTGTACGAAATTTAAAAACATATAAAATAGGTTCTAATCTGGCTGCATTCACAGCTCAGGTTGTTGTAAATGGAAAGGAACTGACGGATTTGGACACAGGTGCAGCTGTATCAGTGATTTCTTTGACAGACTGGAAACGCCTTAAAATACATAGGCCAATAATTCAGACAACAGCGAGACTGCAGACATATTCTAAAGAGCTTTTAATACCAGTGGGTTGTGTGACAGTCACAGTTACATTCAACAAGTGTAAGAAGAAACTACCGCTCTATATCTTAGAGAATAGAGGACCTCCACTTTTTGGTGGGGAGTGGATAAGGGCTCTCGGGATGCATCAAATGCATAAGTATCCATGTCATGTGTTGAATGAAAATCAGACCAGACTTGACTGGATTACATGGGCGTCCGCAGGGGGGGAAAGGGGGGGCACTTGCCCCCCCCTGGATTTTTCAGCTTGTTATGCTATTTTGTGTGAGATTTAAAATGAACTGCAATACCGGCGCCGGCCAGTAGGTGGCGCTGTGTATGGAGAGAGACAGGGATAGGAAGCTGCATCTTATCCCTGCTTCTCTCTGCTGATTGAAACCGCAGGGGAGCAACACATGCAGCCAGAGACAGCCTACAGATCAGGTAAGTGGGGGATGGGGGGAGGAATTGAGAGGGGGGCAGCAGCCTATAGATTTGGGGGGGGGGCAGCAGCAGATAGATTTGGGGGCAGCAGCCCATAGATTTGGGGAGGGGCAGCAGCCTTTAGATTTGGGAAGCCCATAGATTTGGGGGCAGCAGCCTATAGATTTAGAGGCAGCAGCCCATAGATTTTTGGGGGGGCAGCAGCCCATAGATTTGAGGGAGAGCAGCAGTCTATAGATTTTGGGGGGCAGCAGCCTTTAGATTTGGGGCAGCAGCCCATAGATTTGGGGGGAGGGGCAGCAGCCCATAGATTTGGGGAGGGGGGCAGCAGCCCATAGATTTGGGGGCAGCAGCCTTTAGATTTGGGGGCAGCAGCCCATAGATTTGGGGGGGCAGCAGCCCATAGATTTGGAGAGGGGGCAGCAGCCCATAGATTTTTTGCAGCAGCCTATAGATTTGGGGGCAGCAGCCTATAGATATATAGAAATGAACAGGAAGGGTCAGCAAGGAGCTGGAAGGTAAAGCAGCACAAAGGTAAAGTAGAAGGAGCAGAAAGGGTCAGAAATGAGCTGGAAGGGGCAGAAGGAGCACAAACATAAAGTAGGAGAATGAGCAGGAAGGGCCTGCAAGGAGCAGGAATGAGCACAAAGGGACAGCAAGGAGCACAAAGGTAAAGGAGCAGAAAGAATCAGAAGGAGCACAAAGGTAAAGTAGGAGAAAGAGCAGAAAGGGACAGCAAGGAGCACAAAGGTAAATTAGAAAAGGAAGCAGAAAGGGTCTGCAAGGAGCAGAAAGGGATCAGAATGAGAAAGGAGCAGAAGGGCGCAAAATAAGCAGAAAGTAGCAGAAAGGTAAAAGAGCAGAAGGGGCCAAGGATAGAAAACAGTGTCAGAAGAAAAAAAAAAGACTGTCAAATGAAGGAGAGGAAAAGGAGATTGGAGCAGGAAGGACAAATGAAGTGAACCTCCACTTTATTCTGGACACCACATCATAAGGCTTTGGTACCTGGGCCAGGCAGGGAAACGCTGGACCTTCTCATCTCCAAAGGTAAAAAAATATCAGTATTAATGTGTTCACTTTTATTTACTGAGTGTCAGGAAGCACAGAGTGCCGTTGGGTAGGGGTGTTGCTGATTGGCTAGAGCGGTCAGCTGGCACTCTAAGCCAATCAGTAGCTCCCCATTCATAAAAAAGTAAAAACATTTTATGAACCGGGAACTAGCGATTGGCTTAGAGCGTCAACTGACCACTCTAGCCAATCAGCGGCACCCATGCCTGACGTCAATCTGCACTTCCTGACACTCTGTTTCAGAAGCCAAATACCACTGAGCGACCTGGAGCTGGAGGAAGCCTTTGGGGTTAAACCATTTGAGAGCGATTTAACCCCTTAAAGGAAAAAGAGCACCCAGGGGCTTCCTGGCATCATAGCATTTTCATTTAGGTGAAGTTGTTAAGGTGACCAGAAATGTCCTTTAATTTGCTTAAAGGAACACTATAGTGTCAGTAATACAAACATATATTCCTGACACCATAGTTGTGAAAACGCTATTCACCCTGGCTTTATGTGATAATGGCTATGCCCCTTCCCTTTCATGACACTGTCAAAAAGGTACCAAGCATGGATGTCATTACAATTATGCCCCCCCCTGGAAAAATTCCTGCGGACGCCCATGCTGGATTAGGGAATTACATGAAAAGTAATGTTTGATGGCTAATTAGGGACTGTAAAGGGACAACAAGTTTCCTTAGATTTAAATGAAGGAGCAACACCACATTTTTTTTAAAGCAAGAAGTGTGCCTTTTGCTCTAAGGGCTGAAGGGAGGCAGAATTGAGGAGATTAGAGGAGCTGAATATCATCTCCCGGGTTCACAATAGTGAGTGGGCTTCGCCCATTGTTCCTGTGAGAAAACGAAATGGGGAGATAAGGATTTGTGGGGATTTCCACATGGCTCTTAACATACAGCTTAAAATAGATAAGTATCCCCTTCCTAGGGTAGATGATATTTTTGCATCATTGGCAGGTGGCCAGCAATTCACCAAAATTGACTTGAAAAATGCATACCTACAGTTATCTGTACATCCAGATTCTCGACCACTACTTACAATTAATACCCATCGGGGGGCTATTCAGGTATAACCGTATGGTTTTTGGCATTTCACCTGCACCAGCTGTCTGGCAGCGAACAATGGACAAACTGTTAGCTGGAATTCCTGGGACACAGTGCCTGTTAGATGACATGCTGGTGATGGGTAAATCAGAGGAGGAACATAAACAGAATGTAGAGGCAGTTTTGCAAAGACTTATGGAATATGGATTGAAGGTAAGTTTGGATAAATGCCAATTCATGCAGGATCGTCTTGAATTTTGTGCTCATGTACATGACAAACATGGGCTGCATACAACAGATGAGAAGGTCAAGGCATTACAGGATGCTCCAACTCCACAAAATGTGACACAACTAAGGTCCTATCTTGGTCTGTTAAATTATTACAACTGGTTTTTGCCAAAGTTAGCTCATGTCCTGTACCCTTTACATCGTCTTCTAGAGAGTAAACGACAATGGTGCTGGACAGTAGAATGTGCTTCAGCTTTCCATAAGTCAAAAGAACTAGTTCGTAGTTCACGTCTTTTAGTACACTACGACTTGGACAAGCCAGTTTCTATTGCTTGTGATGCATCACCTTACGGACTGGGAGCAGTCCTGTCTCATTCCATGGCTGATGGGACAGACAGGCCAGTGGCTTTTGCCACTAGATCGCTCACAGCTGCAGAAAACAACTATTCTCAAATAGATAGATAAAGAGGCTCTGGCAATAGCATGGGCAGTATAGAAATTCCATCTTTATAGATATATGGTCGACCCTTCACACTGCTTACAGACCATAAACCTTTATTGACAATTTTTAACCCACAGAAAGGTATTTCAATCACGACAGCAGCAAGACTTCAGAGGCATGCCTTAACTCTGGGGGCTTATCAGTATCAGATACAATATCGTCTAAACGCTCTGCATTCTAATGCAGATGCATTCTCTAGACTTCCATTGAAAATGGATTCACAATTAACTACCACAGAAAGATCTACAATATATTTCAGTGAGGTGATAACAGCCAGATAACTTGCACAGGAGACAGCCAAGGACTCTTTGCTGAGGGAAATACTTGTTTTTGTACACAAGTGTTGACCACTAAAGACTCCAATACATCTCAAGTCATTCCAAACAAGAACTCAGGAGTTATCAATTCGAGATGGCTGCTTAGTCTGGGGAGAAAGGGTGGTTATTCTTTTTGTGTTACAACAACAGATTCTTGAAATTTTACATGCAGGTCATCCTGGCATAGTCCGGATGAAGCAGAAGGCAAGAGGTCATGTATGGTGGACAACCACTGATGAGGATATTGCCCATTATGTTTCAGGTTGCACTGGTTGTGCACAAGCACAGTGTGGCTTGCCACATGGTGCCATACAACCTTGGACCTGGCCTCTATCACCATGGGAGATAGACTTTGCTGGACCAGTGGAAAATAAAATGTATCTGATTGTGGTAGATGCACATTCTAAATGGCCAGAAGTTCTATTCATGTCGCAGACCACTGCAGAAGCTACTGTTAAAGGATTACAGAAACTATTTGCAACATTTGGCTGGCCCAGAGTGCTTGTTTCAGATAATGGACCGCAGTTTGTTTCTGGACAATTTCAGGCTTTTCTCAAGGAAAATGGTATTAGGCATCATCGTGCAGCACCGTATTATCCTGCTACTAATGGTCAAGCAGAACGTTTTGTTCAAACATTAAAGGGTTTTCTGAGAAGTCTGAAAGCAGAAGGAACGAGACCTGAACATCATTTGTCTGAGTTCCTTCTACAGTATCGAAATACACCTCATCCAACTGGACAACCTCCAGCATTCGTTATGTTAGGCCGTGAACTCAGGCCAAAACTGGATCTGCTAAAACCAGAGATTCAAAAAAAGGGTCATCCAGCAACAATCGAAGACGCAAGTCGGAAAAGCAGGCCGTTATTACCAGACGGGGGATTCTGTTTGGATGCGTGTATATCATCAGGAGAATCGTTGGAAAGAAGCGGTGATAAAGGAAGTTCTGGTGCCGGTGCACTATAAAGTATTAACCTCTGATGGATGTGACACACGGAGACATACAAATCAACTTCGACCACGTAAAACAGACAACCTATCAAAGTGGGTAGGGCCACTCATGCAACCAGACACTGATATCTGGCATGGAGTTTGGCATGATGACATTTCTGAAGTCTGCAATACACCTGGTCCAGAGGCTCATGATGTAATAGGGGATGATTTGGAGGAAATACCCCATGAAACTCAGGAACAAGAACTGCCAAGTTATAGTTCAAGTAACCATGAAGGCTGTGGTCATGAAAATACTTTCCATTCAACAAGAGAGAGAAGGACCACATTAAGAAACAGACCAAATACTATTTTAAATAGAACCAAACTGAGCAGATCTCCCCTTCAGGAGTATGGTGTTCATATAAAGCGGTGATAAGGGGAATATTAATCAAACTAACTTCCGAAAATAAGGAATATAGAGAAAAAGATTTAACAAATCTACAAATTCAACTATATAATCTTTCAAGAGATAATAACATATCTCCAACTGAGCAGTTATCCAATAGAATTTCTAATCTACAAGATAGGATTAATGATTTGCTAATAAAGAAAGTCTCCAAAACACTAGAAAGATTAAATGCAACATTCTATTATAGAGGTAAAGGCAGATAGACTGTTAACCAACAGACTTAAAAAAGAAATTAAACATGGAAAAATCTCAAAAATTATATATATGGGCGAGACTTGTCTATCTCCAGAGAGAATTGGGAAGGCTTTCAATGATTATTACCATCAATTATATAATCTTCCCCACAATTATGCAGACCCAAAGGATTATTTTAAAAACATGATTATACCAAAGATCTCAGAATCCCAACTAAAGGAATTGAATGCTCTGATATCTTTACATGAAATACACACAAGGATAGAAACTTTAAAATCTAATAAAGCACCAGGTCCAGATGGGTTCACAGGGATCTTCTTTAGACTATTTAAAAATGAAATATCACCCAACTTAGACACTACTTTTAATGAATTCATATTAAAAACTAAAATTCCAGAAGAAATGCTTAAAGGCAACATTATTCCAGTCTTAAAAACAGGAAAGAATCCAGACAAAGTAGACAGTTACCGACCGATTTCCCTACTAAATGAAGACATCAAGTTATACGCGGGAATATTGGCAGATAGAGTTAAACGAGTGGTTTTATTCCGGGACGACTCTCTATTAACATACAAGAAATATGATTGGATTATTGGAACAGGCCAGAGATGAAGGGACGCCCATGCTGACCCTGTCATTGGATGCCGAAAAAGCATTCGACAGGGTCAGCTGGGCATTTGTTAGAGAATCCCTGTTATCCTTTGGATTTACAGGTGAGATACTCAGTGCCATTATGGCCCTATATAGTGATCCCCAAGGTAGAATTGTAGGCCCTGGTATTAAATCTAAATGGTTTAGAATTACAAATGGTTCACGCCAGGGTTGCCCCCTATCACCGCTTTTATACATTCTATCGATTGAACCCCTGGCTGTTGATATAAGAGCTAATCAGGATATAAAAGGGCTTGTAGATAATAACCATAAAAATTAAGTTATATGCTGATGACGTTTTGATAACTATTAAGAAACCTGAGGAATCTATTGACCATGTTGTGCAAATCATTCAAAATTATAGTAATTTTTCTAATTATAAGATAAATACAGAAAAATCTACGGCACTATATTTAAATACACCTCAAAATAATATTGATAGTATAGAAAATAAATAT